CAGAATGTTTTCTTTGATTTTCCTCCTTCAAACATGATAGTTTCTCTGTTATGTGTAAATATTAGACCAGGATGTTTCGACGTCCATTGATTCGTGGCTGATGACATTCAATAATAAGTCGTTATCAGAATTAGCAGCTGAACTTGACACGTGTTACTTGTCTGCATGTGAAGAACTTAGAGTAAGTCACCTTGGTGTCGCTATTGGTAAGATTCTGAGTTTTAGAAAATGGAACCAGTATTGCAAAATTGGAAGTTCAGACTTGTTTCCACAGCAACGGGTGTCATTGTAAAGAAATGGCAACGCAAACATCTCATATGATGATGTTTTGTGCCACATTGCTAACATTCTCATGAACAGAGATACGTTGAAACGCACTACGACAAGTACAACCTATTTCAAATGAAAATATCTTACGTTGTCAATATTATATATAAAAAAATAACTCTGGCGCTTAGTCAGCACTCAAAGAATACTTCTACATAAATATAATTAGATTTAAAACTGTGAAAAATTAAATAAAATCGCAATTTAATAAATTTCTATTTTCGGCACAAATTTACATTTCAAACATAGTAAGGGTCATGTGCAAATTGGTTGCCAATTCATTTCTTACCCCAGTCTTCATTGAACCAATATATTTTTACTCACAGTTACCCAGCCACAGATTACATTATACAAACTGTTAAATTTAAATAGACATTAAATTTAACAACAGTTCTTTCAATTCCAATTACATAAACTCGGTATACCTCCTATTGTCCCTCAGTCCACAACATTCCTGCAATACCGCGGTGAGGGCAACCACAAACAGGGTTATACCTTTAGAACCCATGTGGGTACATAAACTGTGTTTTTTTGCGTGACGATTGTCGAGGGTCCTGCGCAGCCAGGCTGTAAAGCGGCCATTAAAGAAATATTTATGACAATTCATGTACTGTGGAATTTGTCCAAACCGGACTCTGACTAATCCGTAACTCAATCAGTAATCAATAACGAACCAAATTAGGTCCAGAATAAACTACGATCTTTCACCTGTTGTTTTTCGGAATGTGGTGATCTCTAGACCAGCACCTAGAGTCTTTGTTTAAGACTATAGCCCGTGCCAAATATATCTGTATATTGCATACACATTCCATAAACATTTTACAGTTTTTTTGCACTAATGTTTATAGACCAACAAGGTTTGTGACTGAGTCAGCATATTGAAGTGGGTACTTATTCATCAACAGAAATCTGTGTAATCCGACTGAAATTATGGGACGAAGGATCAATTTATCACGTAATTAAAAACACCACTACAACAAGTACCTCCATGGGGATTCCGGATTCGAAAGTACCCAGTAACCTGTACTTATACAAATCAACGTTATGGATGGGGTGTCAGGCTCCGTGACTTGGCTGACTGCGTGTTATCGTACCCCGACGGCGTGGGACGTTGTTCATAATATCAATCACTGGTTTGTCTGGCCCAGACCCGAACCCGCCTTCATACGGGAAGTTTGTGGAGTGCGCCGTAAAATAGTAAGCAAACACTACTGAATGTAAAATGCATCGACCCGATTCATTCAACACTAATACATAGAAGATGTTATCGACTGTTATACTTATCTTTATCGGAAATTATTTGAAATGTTTCTGTCCTTTGTATGACCGCCTCCGTGGTCTTAAGGTAGAGCGTCCGCCCGGAGAGCGGAAGGTCCGGGGTTCGATCCCCGGACGCGTCATACCAAAAGACGTTACCCTGTCTGGCGCTCGGCATTGAGGGGCTAAAACAAGGACTGGTCGGCTCGGAGTCAGTATACTGTGTCTGAGTGGGGTATTCATGTTTAACTGTGGCATGGTATCTCAGTGTGCTAGCACTATTAATCGGAATCAGTCCGAACTAGTACAAGCAGCCACACACACACACATACACGTGCATGCATGTCGCTATATCGGTGCAATAATCTTGGACGCGACGTTAAACCCAATTTCACCTTACCTCACCTGTCCTTTGTATAATGTTAGTCCATGTATATGCACATTTGCCCATTCACAATAGCTGAGTCATGCGTATAATGTATAAGTCTGCCTCCGCATCTGATGTGACACTTTATTAGCTTTCACACCACCCCAATCTCGAACCTACATGTATGACCTAGGGTTCGAACTCGCGAACCTGATTATGTCTCAAGGTTCATGGGGGGCGGTCGGGTAGCCTAGTGGTTAAAGCGTTAGCTCGTCACGCCGAAGACCCGGGTTCGATTCCCGACATGGGTACAATGTGTGAAGCCCATTTCTGGTGTCCCCCGCTGTGATATTGCTGGAATATTGCTAAAAGCGGCGTAAAACCAAACTCACTCACTCACTCACTCACTCACTCAAGGTTCATGGATTCAACAAAACTGGTAAACGCCACATTACTTCGAGTTGTCCTCCCACATCAAGCTGACACGCTGTGATTTAACTCTAATCCTCAAAGCAGCGTTAAACCAAACTCGCCCCCTCACTTACCTGTGACGTTTTTTTATAGCCATTCTGTCACCCTCTTATTTTTAATAATTAGATTTCAGTGTAGTGAGTATCAATGCTGCATGTTCTCGACCCCGTTCATACATGGCGAGGGCATATTTCAGTCTTATCTTGATGACACATATTACTCACAGCCACATGCCCCTCTGGTGTATGTATATATGTGTGACCTGACGTAATAGGAAGGAAAGGCCGGCGCCGTGGGGTGAGTTGGGCTTTCCTTGTTGAGCTGTTCAGGTATTATTAATATTATGTCATAATGGTTCGATACAAATTATTTTTTGTTATTTTATTTTTGTCGATATTTTATTGTTGACTTTCGCGGATCGTTGACTTGGGCGTGGGAATACATGTTTGGTGATTGTCTTCCGGGTTTTCTGTTGTCCGTGGCAATCTATCTACTTGGTGTTTTTGTCTGAATATTTCTCTAAGTAAGGCTCGAGTGTACGGCATGTGTTTGGTGTTAATTAAAGATATCTGTTATGTAAACTATGTCTTGTCGTGTACGTTCGACATCTCGAAAATTCTATTTTTATCTGTATTATCTAAAATTCACTTACACAATATGTTACTTTTTGTCAGGACGTTCTGTTGATGTCATTCTGTTTGACCATGGTGTACGGGCTGACCATGGTCTTCAGATGTGGACGTGAATCTATGGCAGATGTTCGGGTTTTATCTTCTGTGATGAAGGGCGCCGTTTGATTAGAAATGTGAAATAAAGCGGATATGTTGAAGGGCCGCTGCATGCAAAGGCAACTAAGGGCCAAGTTCGCTTGGAACTAGGGTATTATTCTGCCTCCAGATCTCACGGGCCCAGTCACGCACAGCGACCGGAACGATACCACAAACACTGTCGTCAGTCAGTGCTCAAGTTATGGTATTACGGACATCTAAAATCACTAAAATCGTATTGTAGAACCCTTCCCTCTTGGATATTAAGATTGTATTTTAAATGAGTCTCTGACAATTTTCTTATTAATATAAAATAAATATTGATAATATTAATTTAAGAGGTTATTACTTTACCATTAAATCAAGAGTGATGTTTTCATTGCTGAAAACACGTGAAGATCGGATGGTTGATGCATGTCATCCCAATTGCCTGGATCGATGCTTATGATGTCAATCACTGGATCGTCTGGTCGAGACTCTATTATTTACAGACCGCCGTCAAATAGATGGAATATTGCTGAGTGCGGCGTTACACAACAAACACACAAATACAGGGATGAAATGTATTTGTCCTTCTTTCCAAGCCAATTGGTCAGTCTATTAGTCTTTATTCCCTTTACATGAATAAATTCACATAATATAGTAAATTATAGTAGATAATCACCAGTACACTTTTTCCAACCTGCATAGTAGGCAGGGTTGTGTCCCTTTGACACACCAGAAACCTATGATTGCGGGTTCGAATCTCGGTTCGCCCCGATAATGTTTCTAGGTTTATCAGCACCATACCCGTGCTCGTGTGTTTCTCCAAATTTGTAAACGTCTAAGACTTGACTCACTTCGAGCTTTCCTCCCACATTAAGCTGACACGCCATGATATAACTGGAATACTGTTCAAAGAACAAGAGCCTAGAAGATCCCGGGTAGAATAGGTCTTCGGCAAACCGCCTGCCGTAAAATGCGCCTAAGATTGTCGTAAGAGGCGTCTAACGGGATCGGGTGGTCAGGCTCGCTGACTTGGTTGATGCATGTCATCGTATCCCAATTGCGTGGACCTATGCTCATGGTGTCAATCACTGGATTGTGTGGTCCAGACTCGATTATTTACAGACCGCCGTCATATAGCTTGAATATTGCTGAGTGCGGCCTTAAACAACAGACAAAGAAACAAAGCGGAGATAAACCAAACTCACTTACGCTTGGCCAGGGCAATGTTTGCTCATAACTGGCCCCTCAACATGGACAAGTGCTATTTATGTAGGTTATTGATACACATCACTTAGTTGATCCAGGGGGAACGGGTGGCCCAGTCGTCTAAGGCGCCGCGATTCGCTGTGCAGAGTTGCGCCCCCTTGACACGCAAGAAACCTATGATTGTGGGTTCGAATCCCGGTTCGCCCCCATTATGTTTCTAGGTTTGTCAGCACCATACGCGTGCTCATGGGTTTCACCGAAGTGGTGAACGTCTGAGACCTGCATCACTTCGGGCTTTCCTCCCACATTAAGCTGACACGCCGTGATATAACTGGAATAATGTTAAAAGCGGCGTTGAACCCAACTCACTCACTCACTAAGTTGATCCAAGAAAGTATGATCTTTTCCCGTGACACGTATTTCATAACCGGAGTCGTCAAAGAGCGAAGTGCACAGGGAACATGTTTCACATGCATCACGTGGGGGAGACTTGCCCACTGTCCTCACAGACAACCAGACGGTGCTTGCATAGCATGATTTATGTTGTTATTAAAACGATGTTGTTTAATCATGATTGGGGCCTAGGTTCTATAAAAGTAGTCATGGTTTAAACCGGCTAGAGCACTCTGACACCTGGTTTCTAATTGTTGAAATGATGAGTCTAAGTCCGCACCTCGAACGAAGGTAACCCTTTCAACGACTAGACAGCGGTTGTTGGTGCTCAGCGCTTAACGTTTGTCGCATTGCCTGAATGCGTTATCGATGAAAGCTGTTACGGCTTGAGGTCTCAAACGGTCAATGCTGACGACACCTTGGTTGATAAACTCGCGGTGTACACAGAAGGTGAGAAGGATTTTATGGTAGTTCACCGTATTCTCTCCAATGCTAGTGTTTCTATGTCGTTTCGTGTGATTTCGTGATTATTGTTTGAAAAGGATTTTAGCGAACTGAATTTAGAAACAAAGAACCTATACCTCTCTGTTGATTTTATCATATGTATGATTTTCAAATGAATATATCTTACGTTGGCAATATTATGTCAAAAAATTAAACTCTACCGGTGCTTAGTCAGCACCAAAGAATACTTCTACATGTTTTTGTTTTTTATCCCCCGCCCCAACGAAGTTGGCGGGGGATATAGAAATGGGTTTCGTCCGTGTGTGCGTGTGCGTGTGCGTGTGCGCGTGCGTGCGTGCGTGCGTGCGTGCGTGCGTCCGCGTGTCCCGAAATCGTTTCCGGAGCATAACTCAGAAACCGTTAAATATTTCTCTACGAAACTTTGTCTATCAGACTCGTGCTGAACTGGTGCCTTTTGCTATTTACGATTTTTTTATTTTTTTTATTTTTTACGTTTCCATGGCAACAAGTTGGACTTAGGTTCTGTAAGGGTGCTGTTCGTATCTGGTGCGTAACTCAAAAACCGTTAAATAATTTCTTACAAGACTTTGCATGTCTACTAGGCACACTCTGAACTGGTGCCTTTTGCTATTTAGGAATTTTATAAATTTTTATTTTTTACGTTTCCATTGCAACAAGTTGGACTTAGGTTCTATAGGGTAGAGTTTGTTTCCGGAGCATAACTCAAAACACATTCAATACTTTCCAACAAAACTGTGCATGTTTACCAGACACATACTGGACTGGTGCCTCTTGCTATTTAGGAATTTTAGAAATTTTTATTTTTCACGTTTCCGTGGCAACAAGTTGGACTTAGGTTCTACAGGGGTGGTGTTCGTTTCCAGAGTTTAACTCAAAAACCGTTAAATACTTTCTTACAAAACTTTGCATGTTTACCAGGCACATACTGAACTGGTGCCTTTCGATATATAGCATTTTTATAAAAATTTATTGTTTATGTTTCCATGACAACAAGTTGGATTTAAGTTTTAATATATGATTAGTTTACTTGAGTAGTATAACAAATAAACTGTTAAATATTTCCTTGCCAAACATTGTAGTCTATATATAAAGCGCATACTGAACTAGTGCCATTTGATATTAAGGAGTTTTACAAATGTTTATTTTAGAATTTCCATTGCAGCTATTTTGACAAGGGCTAAGAGAAATGTTGGGTCAGTTACCTGGTTTGGGACCATAACGTGATAAAATGGGCGGGTGATATAGATGACTTTGTCAACTATACGCTTGTTCAAACTAGATTTAGATTAAAGTTAGATTCAAAACTTTGAAAATTAAGAGATATTCGCAAATTTATAAATTTCTTTACAACATTACCCCAGTGGTATTCATTGAACCAATTTATTTTTCTCACAGTTAAGCAGCCACAGATGACTTATCACAAACTGTTGCAGGAATGAGTGATGGTTAAACAGGCATTGAATTTAACAGCAGTTCTTTCAGTTTTCAATTACATAAACTCGGTATACTTTCTTTTGCCTCTCAGTTTACAACATTCCAACAATGCCCCGGTGAGGATTTTGCCTTGAGAGGTGAGGTGAGGTGAGGTGAAATTTGATTTAATGTCGCGTCCAAGATTATTGCGCTTTTTTAGCGACGTGCATGCACGTGTGTGTGTGTGTGTGGCTGCTTGTACTAGTCCGGACTGATGCCGATTTATAGTGCTAGCACACTGAGATATCATGCCGCAGTGTAACATGGATACCCCACTCAGAGACAGCATACTGACTCCGAGCCGACCAGTCCTTGTTTTAGCCCCTTAATGCCGAACGCCAGACAGGGTAACAACAAGTACCATCTTTTAACGTCTTTTGGTATGACGCGGCCGGGAATCGAACCCCGGACTTTCCGTTCTCCGGGCAGACGCTCTACCACTAGACCACGGAGGCGGTTTTGCCTTTAGAGTGAGTGAGTGAGTTGGGTTTAACGCCGCTTTTAACAGTATTACAGTTTTATCGCGGCGTGTCAGCTTAATGTGGGAGGAAAGCCCGAAGTGATGCAGGTCTCAGAAGTTTACCACTTCGGTGAAACCCATGAGCACGCGTATGGTGCTGACAAACCTAGAAACATAATGGGGGCGAACCGGGATTCGAACCCACAATCATAGGTTTCTGGCGTGCCCAAGGGACGGAACTCTGCACAGCGAATCGCGGCGCCTTAGACGACTGGGCCACCCGTGCCCCCTTTTGCCTTTAGAACACATGTGGGTAAATGTACTGGGGTTATCTGTGTGACGAATGAACACTTTACTCCTAGGCCAGTAACATTATGCAGGTTATGGACATTTGATAATTTGGTGAAACGTACAAAATATGGCGTATTAGTTACAGATAAGGAGCGACCAGCATATCCTGACATGGATAAGGGACGTAACTCAGCAGTTGCTGCACTTTTTGACAAACATGGCCACACGACAGTCGGTGTACGTCTATAAGCTTGAATGACTTCCATCAAGAGTTTTCATTTTGCAGACAGGTGGAAAGAATCCATCCACTGAACAGGGAATGTAGTATGTCTTCCAGGCCCAAGAGAACACATATAAAAGGAGTCCAACTCAGGTCTAGAATGATTAGGCAAGTGTAAATTGTCTCAGCTTCAGGCAGCACTTTTCTGGGCTCCATTTGGATTTTATTTTTCTATTTTGTACATATGTATTTTTTAAACTGATTTCTGGGACAAATGTCAGTCTGAGGGGAATGCGGTGCACGTGGAATCCATGCTCTCGTGTATTCGTTAATGCGCCACTTCTATTCAGCAGATACATTGAAACCCACTGGCACACCTTCTACCCCTGCTATTGTTATCGACTGCGCCGATTTCCAATTGTAGTCAGGCCGTGAACTTGTCTCAAGTTTGTACCACGGTTGCAGTTGAAGTACGACAGCACAGTGAGTAGCTTTTTATTCCCGTAATGCAGTTTCAACATGGTGTCAACTCTATTTATCATACGTCAATGTCAGTATGATGAGATCTGATTGGTCCCTGTGATCTTGATTACATAATGTGTATCCTGCTTTGGAGGGAAATAAAATTCTTATTGGGAGAACATATCCATTATACCCCACCACGAGCAAGTTAGGCTACACGTGGATTTCTGGGAATTCTGAGATTTTAGACTAAATCCCTTATTCCCCCGCATCAAAGCAAACATCGGGCGATTCGCTGTGTAGAGTTGCGTCCCTTGGGCACGCCAGAAACCTGTGATTGTGGTTTCGAATCCCGGTTCGCCCCAATTATGTTTCTAGGTTTGTCAGCACTATACCCGTGCTCGTGGGTTTCACCGAAGTGGTAAACGTCTGAGACCTGCATCACTTCGGGCTTTCCTCCATATAACTGGAATACTGTTAAAACCCAACGCACTCACTCACTCATTTACGTCGGTTCCCACGACAAGCACGGGGTACTGGTGACCTATTCCCGAAATCCCCACTGGACCTTTATCAGGTGAAACACGGTAAGCTGCAGCAGCTGTTCCATGACAGAGGCCGTTCTGTATCAGTTGTTTACATCCTGCTGTGTGTATATGCTGTTTAATCGTATGGAAGAAGAACGTACTTGATTTATTTCTAATGTTAAGTCAGTTGTTAGTTTTGGAACTGCGGTTTCTACGATGAAAAGTCGACTGTCGGATCTGGGATAGATTTGTACATGGTTGGTGAGCATAACACCTTACTACTGACACGTGTGACATGACATGTAACTTTGAACCCGAGCAGATCCGGGATAGAAAAGGTCCCATGCTTGCTGTAAAAGGCGTCTATACTTGTCGTAAGAGGCGACTAACAAGGTCGGGTGGTCAAGCTCGCTGACTTGGTTGATGCATGTCATCGTATCCCAATCGCGTGGATCGATGCTCATGGTGTCATTGAGAGCCGCTGGAATATTCTCGAGCAAATTGCCCCGGTAAATGCTTGAAAATATAATTATGCTTCAGACCAATATTCTGACGTTTTATGTTTGGTAAGGTAAACCTGATACATGACACTATATTTCAATGACACCGAAATGACAATTTGAAATATGTCAGCACTGCACTGTCCATTAGTAAAATCACATATATATGACGCATGTTATCAAGCGCGTACATGAACAAGCAGGTTGAAACGCTCGAGGGATATCACACCAACTGTCTTCCTGTTCGTTCAATGCGATTAGACGGTATTGCTGTGTCAGTAGATATCCTGGCTACCAGAATTGATTTGTGAGTAGGGCTAAGTATGAACTTCAGAATAATATGACTGCAAAACTAACACAGTAGAAAAAAAATCACGAATATCCTAATTAAGACTACAGGAAGTAAGTTGTAATTGAAACTGAGGTTTCACGCCACAGTTATATCACAGCTTGCCAGTGTTGGAGTGAGTGAGGCGTGTCAGGTTAATATGGGAGGACAGCCGAAGTGATGCAGGTCTCAGACGTTTACCCCTTTCGTGAAACCCACGAGCACGGGTATGGTGCTGACAAACATCGAAATATAATCGAACCGGGATTCGAACACACAATCCTAGGTTTCACTCGTATCAAAGGGACACAACTCTGCACAGTATGCAGGTTGAAATAAGCGAATCGGCGGTTATCTACAATTTATATTCGAATTTACACGGGTATGGTGCTGATAAACCTAGAGATTCGAACCCACAATCATAGGTTTCACTGCGAATTGCGGCGCTTAAAACGACTGGGCCACCCGTGCCATTGTTGGAGGAATGACAAAACTGACTTAGGTCCTGGACGTAAACCCCTTTCCTGACACGTGCGAGGTATAGTGGTGAGTAAGGCTCATAATCGGGGCGAAACAGGTATCAGCGAATCCTGGAACGGATAAGGGACGCAGCATAGCAGACTTGACAAATTTTACCTTGAGTCCATGTTGTAAATCAGGTAGTGGGGTTTCAGGCAGTAGCAACAATACAGTGATACGAATCCAGGCTGGTACAATGTAATCGAACCTGGTAAACTGGCGGATAATAGTGTGTGCAACGGGGCATACAGCCAGGATCTGATTGCCAAAACTGAGAATCGGACTTCCACGTGATCACCTATCAATGTGTTATCCATAATGAGGCAATTGATTAAAGGGTTGGTTCATCGTTGGTTCAATATGTCACGGGTCAAAGGGCGGTGGTGTACACGCGGGGTGGGGGTTAGGGGAGGTATGTCAGGGGTCATAGGGCAGTGGTGTACACGCGGGGTTGGGGGTTAGGGGAGGTATGTCACGGGTCATAGGGCGGTGATGTACACGCGGGGTGGGGGTTAGGGGAGGTATGTCAGGGGTCATAGGGCGGTGATGTACACGCGGGGTGGGGGTTAGGGGAGGTATGTCAGGGGTCATAGGGCAGTGGTGTACACGCGGGGTTGGGGGTTAGGGGAGGTATGTCACGGGTCATAGGGCGGTGATGTACACGCGGGGTGGGGGTTAGGGGAGGTATGTCACGGGTCATAGGGCGGTGGTGTACACGCGGGGTGGGGGTTACGGGAGGTATGTCACGGGTCATAGGGCAGTGGTGTACACGTGGGGTTGGGGTTAGGGGAGGTATGTCACGGGTCATAGGGCGGTGGTGGGGGTAAGGGGAAATATGTCACAGGTCATAGGGCGGTGGTGTACACGCGGGGTGGGGGTTAGGGGAGGTATGTCACGGGTCATAGGGCAGTGGTGTACACGTGGGGTTGGGGTTAGGGGAGGTATGTCACGGGTCATAGGGCGGTGGTGTACACGCGGGGTGGGGGTTAGGGGAGGTATGTCACGGGTCATAGGGCGGTGGTGTACACACGGGGGTAAGGGAAGATATGTCACTGGTCATAGGGCGGTGGTGTACACACGGGGGTGGGGGTTAGGGAAGATATGTCACGGCTCGTGGGGCGGTGGTGTACACATGGTGTGGGGGTTAGGGGAGGTATGTCACGGCTCCTTGGGCGGTGGTGTACACACGGGTTGGGGGTTAGGGGAGATATGTCACTGGTAATAGGGCGGTGGTGTACACACGTAGTGGGGGCTAGGGAAGATATGTAACGGCTCCTTGGGCGGTGGTGTACACGCGGGGTGGGGGTTAGGGGAGATATGTAACGGCTCATAGGGCGGTGGTGTACACACCGGGGTGGGGGTTAGGGAAGATATGTCACGGCTCGTGGGGCGGTGTTGTACACACGGTGTGGGGGTTAGGGGAGGTATGTCACGGCTCCTTGGGCGGTGGTGTACACACGGGTTGGGGGTTAGGGGAGATATGTCACGGCTCATGGGGCGGTGGCGTACATACGTAGTGGGGGTTAGGGGAGATATGTCACGGCTCATTGGGCAGTGGTGTACACGCGGGTTGGGGGTTAGGGGAGGTATGTCAGGGGTCATAGGGCAGTGGTGTACACGCGGGGTTGGGGGTTAGGGGAGGTATGTCACGGCTCCTTGGGCGGTGGTGTACACACGGGGTGGGGGTTAGGGGAGATATGTCACGGCTCATGGGGCGGTGGTGTACACACGGGGGTGGGGGTTAGGGGAGATATGTCACGGCTCGTGGGGCGGTGGTGTACACATGGTGTGGGGGTTAGGGGAGGTATGTCACGGCTCCTTGGGCGGTGGTGTACACACGGGTTGGGGGTTAGGGGAGATATGTCACTGGTAATAGGGCGGTGGTGTACACACGTAGTGGGGGCTAGGGAAGATATGTCACGGCTCATGGGGCAGTGGTGTACACACGGGGGTAAGGGGAGATATGTCACGGCTCCTTGGGCGGTGGTGTACACGCGGGGTGGGGGTTAGGGGAGATATGTCACGGCTCATAGGGCGGTGGTGTACACACGGGGGTGGGGGTTAGGGAAGATATGTCACGGCTCGTGGGGCGGTGTTGTACACACGGTGTGGGGGTTAGGGGAGGTATGTCACGGCTCCTTGGGCGGTGGTGTACACACGGGTTGGGGGTTAGGGGAGATATGTCACGGCTCATGGGGCGGTGGTGTACACGCGTAGTGGGGGTTAGGGGAGATATGTCACGGCTCATTGGGCAGTGGTGTACACGCGGGTTGGGGGTTAGGGAAGTGACATGTATGTCACGGCTCGTGGGGCGGTGGTGTACACACGGGGTGGGGGTTAGGGGACATATGTCACGGCTCATGGGGTTGTGGTGTACACACGGGGGTAAGGGGAGATATGTCATAGGGCGGTGGTGTACACGCGGGGTGGGGGTTAGGGGAGATATGTCATAGGGCGGTGGTGTACACACGGCGTGGGGGTTAGGGGAGATATGTCACGGGTCATGGGGCGGCGGTGTACACACGGGGTTGGGGTTAGGGGAGATATGTCACGGCTCATGGGGCGGTGGTGTACACACGGGGTGGGGGTAAGGGGAGATATGTCACGGGTCATAGGGCGGTGGTGTACACGCGGGGTGGGGGTTAGGGGAGGTATGTCATGGGTCATAGGGCGGTGGTGTACACGCAGGGGTAAGGGGTGATATGTCACGGCTCATGGGGCGGTGGTGTACACTAGGGGGTAAGGGGAGGTATGTCACGGCTCATGAGGTTGTAGTGTACACACGGGGGTAAGGGAAGATATGTCACTGGTCATAGGGCGGTGGTGTACACACGGGGGTGGGGGTTAGGGAAGATATGTCACGGCTCGTGGGGCGGTGGTGTACACACGGTGTGGGGGTTAGGGGAGGTATGTCACGGCTCCTTGGGCGGTGGTGTACGCACGGGTTGGGGGTTAGGGGAGATATGTCACTGGTAATAGGGCGGTGGTGTACACACGGCGTGGGTGTTAGGGGAGATATGTCACGGGTCATGGGGCGGCGGTGTACACACGGGGTTGGGGTTAGGGGAGATATGTCACGGCTCATGGGGCGGTGGTGTACACACGGGGTGGGGGTAAGGGGAGATATGTCACGGGTCATGGGGCGGC